GTGTCACAAATTAGCGCCCATTTGTTATTATGAACCACTGTATATACCTCAAATTTTTAATATAACAGGCTTTATGGAGGTTAGTTCATAACATAGGTCAGACATCTTTAACCTGAAGACTGCCTATAGAAGAGGCAGGACTTGTGAGGAATGGGGCTACTCCCTCTTGGTGGAACTGGAAGTCCATATGCTTGTCTTTTATGTGTCAATCTCACTGAATTATTAATTCTAATAGTTCTACATTGGTTGTCTTGAATTGCTACATATCTTCCACAAAAAATGTCATTTTCTCTTCCTTAATTTATATTGCAAGCGAAAAAAAACAAACCTGCATCTGTTATTTTATATTTTTTCACTTCACCTGTATGAAATGAGAATTTACTTTTCTCCTTTCTTGCTTCTAAGTTGTAGTGTTACAATCTGGAGGTTTTAAGTATCCACTTTTATCTTACTACCAATAATTTTTTATCTACCTATCTACCTCTCTGCCTTCATCTCCTACTCTCTTGCTTGCTCCATCTGCTCTAGCTACAGTGGCTTCTTTGATTTTACTACAACACACAATGTATACTGCTGTCTTGGGACTTTGCATTTGTTATTCCCTGTGCCTGAAATACTTTGACCCTCAGATACTCATGTGGCTCACTCCCTCACCTTCTAAACAGTCTTTACTCATATGTCACCTTCTCAGTAAGACCTTCCCTGACAGCTCCCCTAAAAGTTGTAACCCAACTCCCTCCAGGCCCCTGTTCTCTCCCTACTTTATTTTGTCTTCATAGCAATGATATCTACCATACTGTTTTATCTATTAAATAGTTTATTGTCTGCTTCTTTTTATTACAATTACATAGTGCCTAAAAGCACTGGACTGCTAACCAGAAGGCTGGCGGTTCAAACCCACTAGCCACTCCTCGGAAGGAAGATGGGGCAATCTACTTCCATAGTGATACTGCCTTGGAAACCCAAGGAGGGGTCTCTATGAGTTGGGTCCGACTCAACGGCAAATAACAACAACAACAAGAATCTTTCTCTATTTTGTTCACTGTTTAATTACCGGTGCCCAAACAGACCTGGCACATGTAATATTCAATAAGTATTCTTTTAAATAATTAATCTGTGATTTAATATTTCCCTTCTACAAGTTGGAACTGTTAAAACTAAAGGTATGATTTTTTTTTTTTTTTTCTGGTAATTCTTCCTTTTTGCTTATGTGTTAGCCTTATTTCTTATTTATTTATATCAGGTAGCACTTTTCATACGGTTTAAAATTGAAAAAATACAAAAGTATTTGCATTGAAACATACTCATCCCATTCCCAGACTCAGCCACCACATTCCTTTGCTCAGAAGCAGTTAACTTTGTCAGTTTTTTCACTTTTTTTTTTTTTTTTTTGAGAGATACTCCATATGGTTTTCTAAACATGTGATACCAAGATACACTGTAGGACAGAATATTTTACAACTATGTCTGTCAAGAACAGTTCCTAGTCCCCTATGTACTATTCAACCCTCCTTATTAGTGTCAACCATTTTTAGTCAGTGTTACTATCATGCTTCTACTGGGGGGAGGGAACATAGTGAAATATTATTTGGCTAGCCCTTAAAATTCAAAATCTTGGTGGGTTGGAAGAATACCCACACTTAAAGTAACAAAAGATCTAAAAAGAAGGTCAAGATGATGTTTATAAAATGCCATGTTATTGTTGTTGGGTGCTGGAGAGTCAATTAAATTTTAAGAGTAGGACAGTGCTTAACCATTTTTGGTGACTGACATGTTCATTGATTTTTAAATTAAGAATTTTCAAAAACAAGTCAATTTAAAAGATTCAGTGGTAAGTCTTAAGTGAAAGAAACCACCTTTTAAAGTGAACCAGTTTCAGTGCATGGAGGGATAGACACAGGGAAGAGGTGACTATCGGGAGGATATGGGAGGGGAGCTGTTGCATTGGGGTAAGTTGTAGTCAGTGTCTTGAGACAAAGTGTATGTGAATTGCTGTATGGAAAGTGAATTTGCTTTGCCAATTTTCACCCAAATCACAATAAAAATAAATAAAGTGAACCAGTTTCAGTATTTTAAAATGAGATTCTCACCTAAGAGTTGTACCAAGGCTACCAAAGTTCATGGTATAAAAATAAACAAATATCCTGGCAGATTAGAAACAGCAATTAAAAGTGAAAGATTGTATCTATAAATTATCCTTAGATCTAAATTTCAAACTTAGAATCTAAATGGCCTGGAAAATAGTAAATGTTATAAAAACTATAATATTCAGAAATTATAGTTTTGAAACCTTGATCAATGAAAAGGTTGTTGTTAGGTGCTAGTGAGTCCATTCCAACTCATAGCAACCTCATGTAACAGTAAAACTGCCCCACTGGGTTTTCTTGGCTACACTTACTCTCTTCCTTGAATGAACAAATTTCCACAGTATTTGTTATATATACCTTATTCAACAATTAGTGTTACAGTGTTTTATAATATTTTATAATACTGTGAAAATTAGTTAATCAAAAGAGAAAGTGAATAATTTATCATGGAAAGATAACAATATATTGATAGTCTAAGAGGGTGTGTAGAAGAGTATATTACACCTCTGTGGGTGCACCAAGGTGAGATTTCAGCAGTAAGAATTTATGCCATGAGATCTGTAAGATGGGTAAGAAAGCCCTTGTTTTGTAGAGGAAAGACTCAGTATATTTATAACAAAGTCAGTGAGAGGAAATGCTATAAAGAGGTATCAAATTCAGTAGTGATTCAGAAAGAGACCATAGGCAGTCAAGAAAATCAGAACATTTTTATGTAGAAAGTAGTATTTAAGATAGAGTTTGAAAAATATAATTTTTGATAGGCACAGAAGGATAACACAATGGAAGACTCCTATTGTCAGGTGCCGTCAAGTCAGTTCCAACTCATAGCAACCCCATGTATGACAGAACGAAACACTGCCCAGTCCTGCACCATCCTCACAATCCTTGCTGTGCTTGAGCCCATCGTTGTAGCCACTGTGTCAGTCCGTCTCATTGAGGGTCTTCCCCTTTTTCCTCTATTTCACTGAGCATAGTATTCTTCTCCAGGGACTGTGATCCTTTCTGATAACTCTAGTACAAGTGAAAGATTGTAGCCCAACGACAGCCCACAGACCTACTGCCTGTTTTATAAATAAAGCTTTATTGGAACACAGCTGCATAAAAGGTGTGTGACAGTGTCTGACCTAATTTCACAAGGTGGGAGACAGATTGAGATCCACATCAGCAGCCCAAGGCTGATTCCACCGAGGCAGAGGTCAGACATGCCACCATCCTCTAACCCCTTTGCCAGTTTTGACACCATCCTTCCCTCCCATGGCACTCACTACTTCTCTACTGGTTTTAATAATTCATTGCAATGGCCACACAGAACTCAAAGACAATACTTGTGATCATGGGATTTATTATGGAAGCAACAGGTTATAGTTCAGGTTCACAAACACTCAAGATACAATTTTTTGATCAGGACAGCCTCCCCTTGGCCATGCCTGCAGGCCCGTCTCTCTTTGACCCTCAGCCTGGCCTCTGCCCTGCTCAGGCAAGTGTTACAAAGCTCTTTTATCTCTGCCAACAGATGCACCCAAGTCTCCAACAAGCTTCCTGCCTGAAGGCTTTCTCCTTCCATGGGCCAGGAAGCCTGCCATTCTGTCTCATGCTGGTCTCTTAGTTCTGCTGCCACCATCTCTCTGCTATCGTCGGTCAGGGATCTTGGATCCAAGGATCCACTCCATTCCTGGTTCTTCTGTCTTGATGATAGTCATCCCCATTTCCACCTCTGGGATGGCTTATTTTAAGGTCAAAACTGACCAGTCCTCACAATTAGGGTCCCGTACATACCTTATTTGCACAATCCCACCCTCCCACAAGGCTGCCAGTACCTTATTTACATTACTAGTAAGCTACCCAATCCCCTTGGTGGGCCATAAGCACCTCACATTTGCATAGCCCCACCTAGTCATCTGATGGGAGTCACAAAGACTATGGCTAACAGAGTACTTCACTGCACCACCACAACAATACCAATTCATTTATTTATTGTGTATGCGTAATACCTAGAGCTGCTTTTGTGTTATATTGACAGAGTTCAGAAGATAAAACAGACCATGTGGCCTGCAGAGCCTAAAATATTTACTAATTTGCCTTTTAAAGAAACTTTGCTGATCTCTGTAAGAAGATAGGATGTAGGTAGAAAATCATTGTTCTGGCTACCTAGTGCTGCTCTGACAGAAATATACCACAAATGGAATGGCTTGAACAAACAGGAATTTATTCTCTTACAGTTTGGGAGGCTTTAAGTCCGAGTTCAAAGTGCCAGGCTTTAGGGGCTGGGTAAAAGCCCCTCAGCCTTGGGCTTTACCTCTCCCTCCTGCTCCCAGCCCACTGAAGCTGGAGGCTTTTCTTCACTCAGACAGCTGCTGGCTCCTGAGGCTGACAAGCCCAAGGTTGACAAGTAAAAAGGCATAGTCCCAATGTTACCAAACAACATGGCAGGGCATGGTAGGCTGTTGAACAACAACTTGGCTACATGGAGGGTTCAAGTGTGCCAAAAGCCTAGAGACCATTCCCAAAGCTGTTTCTTATATACAGGAAGCAGACCACATTCCTAAAGCAGCTACTCAGCTGCTCCAATAGATTCTACCATGGAGTTGATTACCAATCTCATCAGAGAGAATAATGACATCCAGCTGCCCAGCCACTCAACCAGGCCCAGCCAAGTTGATACACAAACTTAACTACCATAAGCATTGTTGGTAACTATTAAAGAAATAAAAATAAATTACTTACTATAGTTGATGTGATCAGTAATAGAAGGGGTGCATCATTAAAGGGAGGTCCTTGAAGGGATACAATAGGGAGAACATTATTAGAGAGGAAAAAGAGGGACAGAGGCCATTCCAGGCTGGGCTAATAACTTCAGTAAGGCACAGAAATGGCTTGTCCTTAATTATACTTTTCTAATCTTTCTCTTGCTAGCCAAGAAGGATCAAGAAGGTGGAGAAGAAAAGAAATCTGTGCAAAAGAAAAAAGTAAAAGAGTTGAAGGTGTTGGATTCAAAGACAGCCCAGAATCTCTGTGAGTAACACTATGAACATAGTAGGGAAACTATTTGAAATGTGAAGAAGTTCTCTAAGAACTTAATTCTGGCAGATCCAGGGTCCCTTAATAAGAAACTTCCATTTTTTGAGTTCCTGCTATATGCCAAGCATTGCATAGTGAAATTCTGATATCTTGTTTGATCCCTTCAGTAACACTGAATTGTTAGTACCCAGTTTCATGGCAAGGAACAAAGGTGCTAAGACTTAGGAGTTTGCTTACTCATAAAGCTAGTGAGAGACAGATCTGGCAGATCTGATTTGAACCTTGAGTTCTTTTATTTCAAAGCCCTTATTATTTCCATTACATCCACAGAATATCTACTACAAATGTTCTAACCACTGTAAATCCTTTTTTCTCACTTTCTGCTAAGTACTTCCTTGAAATGCAGGCACTGGATTGACTTCAGTAAAATCTAAAATAACTTTGTGGTTCAGAATAAATGATATAAATCTTGTACTTCTTAGAGTAGGATTAGTATCTCCAGAGAATTTTCTGTTCTGAGCTACCTATTTATAAATCTGATGGGTGATAAAAACAACTTTCAGATCAGAAATTCCACTGCATAAAACTATAGAGTTCCTCAAGGAAAATCTAAGGGCAAATTCAGGGGCCCTAATATATGGCATAAATAGACTACCAAGCATAACTCAAAAAGCACAAACAGCAGAAGAGAAACCAGATGATTGGGACCTTCTAAAAATTAAATTTT